AAATACGAAGCACTCCGTAGTTGTTAATTAAACAATCACAATTTGGCGCTCATAAAAAGTTAAATTAAATTACATTATAAATTAATTAGTATAAAATGATATTATACAATGTAATATTTATTTTGGCCATGTTCTTTCAGTTGGAAAAATTAACCTCAAATTTTTTTCAACTTCTTTCATTTTTTTCCAACGACGTAAAAATAGTATTTATATATGACGAATATATAATAATATTATACATCCAAATTTATAACATATCACCCCAAAAACAGACAATAATGAATTTTTTAATCCAAAACTAGAATTTTCTTAAGTATTTATTTGAATGATTATTTAATTGAGTGACTTTTTAACACTTAAATTATTTCAACATTTCTCACTCCTAATTTTTTTCAACTTCTTCTAGTATCTTCCAGCAGTATATGTTCATACTATCATCAATCTAATCACGCACAAAGAGCCAATGATTCTGCTTCTGCTGGAGCTTGAACTTGGGTGAACTTCTCCACGAATCATAGGAGTGGACTTCCTACCACTCAAGACACGGGTGGAGAAGTTCCACAAAGAAGCTATTAAAACAAATAAACAATATATACGTAGTTTGTTTTTCATATATGCACTAATATAATACTCCCATATTTTTGGGGTCGTAGCTTCTAACTAATTAAAGAAATTGTATATAATTAATCAAAGAAAAATACACCATTACAAAATGATGAATATTACAGCGGGAAAATAAAAATAAAATAATCCGAACTTATAAAACGTTCGGATTTTACAACAAAAATAAAGAGAGAAAAAAAACTTGGAGTCTTCGGGAGTTCGAACGGAGAGCAAAGGATCGCCGGAGATGTTTCTTGAACCGTAGATAAGGAAAGCGGAGTCGCCGAAGCTTTCCTTAAGGTAGTATTGCCCGCCTCCCGCACTGGCTAACGTGGGCAATCTCCTCCCAGGATAAAACCGCTCCGTGCTAGGTCTAAAGCGGTAGAACAAAGCACCGGCGAACGAGAACAACGGGAGTTATAGCCGGAGAAGGTGATCGGAGATGGGAGATGATCGAGTGTACTTCGGTATGTTTCTTCTCTCGACAATCCTCTCCTTAAATAGGAGGAGGATTGGCTAGCTGGACAGCCCGGACGGAGATACCGAGGAGCCTGAGGCGACTCTTCGGTCGGCCATGCATGCATGCTTCATTTTCGTACACTTCGTTATTAACGAAAACGAAGTGTACACGCGCGTTTGTTTCGGTCTCGTAAAAATTTAGCCACGCCACCCCGCAGGCGCGACCCACCCCGCCCCACCCTGATGCGCGCGCCGAGCCAGACGGACGGCGGCGGCAGGCGCGCGAGGAGTCCTCTTCTTGTTCCTTTCATAAGCTCAATTCAATGCCTAAGCTTAAATATGAGAATACGAAAGGTTTAGCAACCGGTGTGGGACAAAGGCATTACTCTACCTTAGTATTCAACCTTGAGAATTAATTTCTCATTCACCCGAGCACCGTTTATGGCGTGTAATATATCAAGACGTTCGTCTTACTTACGAGATTAATCGTCCATAATTATTTTGGAAAAATAATTTTGTGGTCCCAATCGAATTTATGTCCGAAAATGTCCAATTTACTTTAAATTTCCAACACAAAAAAATCTCTCTGATTCAATATATGATACTAGTTGTTCTCAAATTTGTTATTCGTTGCAAGGGTAATCCCCATCCCAATACGTGAATTTTTTTTTCCATTTAAAACGTTTGTTTCGCTGACCGATGCAAATGTGGTGATTATTTGGTCGTTCTTGTAGTAGTGCCTTACACTCCCGCCCAACGACGTATGTTTTGAGAGAGGTAAATTAGGAACCCAGCAGCCCGTAAGCATGTTAAAGGAGATGTCAGTCCTACTATTGTTACTTCACCGGTGTCCATTCAACATGTATATAGCAAACATGTGAATTTCTATATACGGAAAATAAGAAAATGATAGCTTGATTATCCTCTTAGAGTTTAGAAAATAGGAACCAATAACTCTCTTCGTCGTGCATTATTTTGAAATTACGGAAACTTTATAAATAATTTTCGAAAACAGATGTAGTATTGGTGTCAATTCTCCAAACTATTTAGCAATTTGGCCATTGTTTAATCAAAATTCCATTGTTGCAGACGGATAGAGATGATAGAGATCATGGATCTCTTGTGTGGAGGCGAATCCCCCTCTCTTGTTACACACGTCCTTGGGGGGCTGGTAGGTGTTGATCATTGGATCACGCTCATCACGTCATTTTTTTTATTTTCTTTTTAATTTATTTAAATCAAAATTTACTTAAAATAAACAATATTAAAAAAATAACTCATTAACAATAAAATTAAAATTACATGGATGTAACAAAAAAGTAGAATAAAAAATGTACAACAATTAAAAAAGGTTAAAAAATAATAATAATTTATCATGCGGAAGTGGAGTTGCGAAATTTCTCAAATGCTCAACCAAATCGACAGGGAAGTTGTGGTGCATATGTGTACTTTGTAACGCAAACTTGTTGAGAAAAAAAAAAGGATGAAAATCTAGAAGGTAATAGAAGAAGAGATGGGTTGAGACTTGAGAGTGTGTGAAGGTGAATACTAAGAGTGGTTTTAAATAATACTGAGTAGAAAAACGAAAACTTCGGAACGAACTGTTGCAACGGCTAGATTTGGGGGGCGCGTGATGGGCATCACCACCATCACGGTCAGTCGGTCACAGGGGAGGGGACAATATCCCCTCTCCATCTTGCATGGAGAGGTTGCCACGCACGTAGACAATCACGGCGCCTCATCCTTGCCCACACCGCCCAGCCTTACAACATACTTCCTCCGTCCCAAAAAGTTTTTCCTGTTTCATTTTTTGCGCATCCCATAAAACACTTCTATCCCATCTTGATTGCCAAAACAACTTATATCCATAATAAAGAAGAAATTTTGTAAATTTTAGGCATTTTAGATGTCGTTAGAAGTATTTTATGAGATGCGCAAAAAATGAAAAAGGAAAGACTTTTTGAGACGGATGGAGTATGTTGCAAGAATTATCTTGGAGTTGTGGACAGTGGTCCCTACTCTTAGCCAACATGCCAAAAATGGATAGAGCAGTGGATCATCTGCACCCTGCGCAGCCCTCCATCCGCATTTTCATTTTCACATTGATTAAAAAAAAAACTCACTTTTAACTCACTTCTAATTTATGCCTTCTGTATTACCAGTATATAAAAAGGATTCATCACTGTTAGGTACTGCTTTTCATCAATAGATTCTACTCCGTATTCCGTAATAGAGACTCTGAACAGCAAGAAGCTATAAACCAGAATTTCTAGAATTTTTTTTAAAAAAAGGATGAGTCCCATCTCCGAGGCCCCGTTCAAACCCGATCGGATGGTACTTACAGAGATCCTATGCTTAGCATAGTGTCCTCCAAACGCAGTTGCCAGGAATTGAACTCGGGTCTTACCTCCTGAACTCGGGTCTTAAAATATAAATCCATTTGGTGCCCTTGTCCGCAGGACATCACGGAGTGCTCTGATAAGCGGCACCGCAAAACCTGCAAACTTCTCATCACTCATTTCTCTTTCTTTTTTTACTCATTTCCCATCCACTTAATGTTCCACAAGTGAATGATTTACGTCATGTTCTCTTCAATTTACTCTCTCTGTTGTTCCAATGTATTTGTTTAGTTTGATTTTTTAGAGTCAAACTGGATTAAATTTTGAGCCTCAATTAAATAAAATCCAAAATGTATTTTAACATAAAAATAACTTAATTAGATTTATCGTATTGATTCAAGATTGTATTTTATTATAGTAATAGAGTTCTTAGAGTTTAAAGTTTGTCCAACTTAACTCAAAAAAGTCAAAGTGGACAAATACAATATGACAGAAGTAGTATTTTTTTTACTTATTACTTATTCTTATTTGAATCTGAATAGATTAAACCAAATTAGATCATCAATATCTTTAAATATAACTACATTCAGATCAAATCATATCAGCCCAAATCAAATAAGAACTTATTTCAATCAAATCAGAACCAATCAAATCAGGTGAAGAGAACATGACCTTAGAGGGTGCTTGTGAGTACGAGTCTTGAAAAAACCAATGTGCTAAATCAGAAGTAGAATGTAGTTACTTCGAACTTTAGAGAAAATCACTTTTAGAGTACAATTTACACCTCTGAAATCACAATCCATAGTCTAAAATTGATTGAAAAAGATTTAAAATTGTATTTCAAATGCAGTAGAAGCTCAAAAGCTATTTTTAACCACATTCTCAAACACCCTCTTATTACCAATATACTGTATGTGTGTCTATATATATATATATATATATATATATATATATAGGATTGACTCCAGTCAGATGACACCTTACGGTGAGATGACATGTTACGGTCAGATGACGCAAAGCTCAACAAGGACAACTACAAAGCTCACGAAAGTGTAAGGCAAAGCTCACCATATTTTTTAAACACTTTAAATTTTTTTAGAAAAAAAAATCAAAAGAAGGGGTGCTGACTAGACTTTGACCATTGACCGTTGACCATCACCGGCGACTCCCTACTGCCGCCGACCTCCGCCGGCCGCCGGCCGCCGACCGGTGCTGATATTTTATTTTTTATTAATTTTTAAATTTTCAAAATTAAAAAAAGGTGAGTTCTGGTGTTCAAAGTGGTGAGCTTTGCTTTATTTTCAGGTGAGCTCTACATATGTCATTAGTGAGCTTTGCAGTGTAATGTGGTGAGCTTTGCGTCATCTCACCGAAGCATGTCATCTCACCGCAAGGTGTCATCTCACTGGAGTCAATCCCTATATATATATATATATATATATATATATATATATATATATATATATATATATATATATATATATATATATATATATATATATATATATATATATATATATATATATATATATATATATATATATATATATATATATATTACTCCAGTATACTCCATATAATATAGTTGAATGTAAAGCCGGCAGCTTTGCTCCGCCCCTCATCCGGCCGGCTTCTCTGTAAGCACCAATATTTCTTCTTCTTCTTTACAGTATCATTGTCACTTTCTCAGTCTTTAATAAAGATTTTGCCTCTCTTTTTCTTGGAAAAAAATAAATTTCTTCCTTCCCTGTGCTGTTTGTTTGAGATTTCTATGATCAAGTGATTGAGGACTATTTAGGATTATGATTGTGATTATGTTATTATAGTATTGTGTGTATGTGTGTCTTACTGTTTCTGGAAGGTTAATTTGTCACAATCCCCTAAAACCCAAAAAAACCATGGGTAACTTTGGAGTTTCACAGATAGTTTATAGAGACTTCTTATTAAACTGTTCAACTTAGGGGCGTGTTTGGTAAGACCGTAAGAGTGATTCGATTAATATGGTTGTAAAATTTTCTGAAATGAAAAAAAAAACATCGTCAACTCTATATCGATGATGAAGTAAGTTAAAAACTACAAGCACATGTTTTTCTAATAGCTAGTAAACTAAGACCTTTGACTTTTACGGAATTTATGAAAAGTGTTGAATATTGTATGGTTAGAATTCTCGTAAGCCATATGTTCATTACTAGGAAATGAAATAAAACAAGTGAAAAGTGTTTTGGGAAACATTTAAAAGGAAAAGTGTTCACACATTTTTATGAGGGAGGGATTCTAATATGCTTTTGTGTAATTTTTTTTGTAGGATTCACAAAAAGAAGAGAAGAAAAGAAAATGCCATCGAGCCAAATTTCTTGTGACTCACAAAATGACCAACCAAACAATGCAAAGGAGCCCTCTTTAGCTGACACCAGATCAATTTCTGCACCTGCCAACGAAAACAGGAAACTCTTACGGCAAGATATTGAGCTTGTAAGATTCTGCACTCCTTTCAGATCTCTCACTTGAAATTTTTGGTTTGAACTTTTCTTTATGATGAATTTGATGGTGTGTAGGTTCAAAACTCGATCGAGAGGTGTTTGCAGCTGTATATGAATAGAGATGAAGTCGCGAAAACACTTTTAAACCGCGCAAGGATTGATCCTGCATTTACAGCTCTAGGTGCTCATGTTACTCTAAAACTTGTATGAGATGATCTCACAAACTCAATCCGTGAGACTACGACGCGCAACTTTTCTCACAAGCACAACATTATGAATGCACTTTTGAAGAGTTACACTTGACAGACAATGATGTTTGTGTGGAGGGTGGGATGAAAAGTTGGTCCTATGGTTTTTGCCTTAAGGTTAACTCTGGACTGAAAAGTGACAAGTTTCACGGAAGGCGAGATTCGTGGGGTCACATCACACAAGTGTAACTCATTTTTTAAGTGGATAAGACTATGATAGCCTTAATTTAAGAAGTTTTCACATTGTCTTATTGTGTGTAGTGTGGCGGAAACTGGAAGAAGAAAATGCAGAGTTTTTTCAAGCCTACTACATAAGATTGAAGCTGAAGAACCAAATCATATTGTTCAATCAGTTGCTCCAGCAACAATATCATCTAATGAAATGCCCCCCAATGGTTCCATCAGGTAAGCTTTTTTTCTCCAATCGCTTAATACGATCTCTGAGATGGTTTAGGTTTACTATTTATAATAAGCAACTTTTCTCCTTAACTATGCGGTTTTGTACTTAAATGCAAAGGCACTGACCATATTGAGTTACCATTTCACATCTCACAGATAAAAACAATGTACTTTATTAACCTAAAATGATCTTGTAATTTCAATCAGATGCTTCATGGGCAGCTTACAGTTAATGGAATACATAATAAACTAGTAAAAATGTGGATTTTTACGGCAACATGAAGAGCGTCGGATATTCTAAAATAATACTCTATTTGAGATCATTACTACTTACCGCTGCTTGGTTGCTCATACTGCAGTCAACAGTTTACCCACGGGATATCCTATCATACAGCATCATCCAAATCCAGCACCACCACCACCAACGGCAGCAGCTCATTTTTATCATCATCCGATGATGATATCTGTGGTCAATGGGGAGCCTGTACCAAACAACTACCATTCAATGCAAATGAATCCCGAAGAAAAGTAAGAATTTGATTTTCTTATCTGTCTTTGATAATGAAAGTGATGGAACATATTAGAGGGTGAAATCAAGAGCGTAAGGGAAAGAGCTTTGTACTTTAGGTGAAATGATGATGCGTAAAGCAATATTTGCAGTACTCCTAAAAAAAAGTATCGTCATTCAAATTTTGCTAAAAATTATCAGTCTCAATGATATTTACATCAAGTAGTCCAGTTTATATCCATTGAGTGGAGTTATATTTTGCTAATTATGCAACTTGTCGGTAAGCATGATGGAATTGCATAACCTTATTGTGCATATAAAATTTTTGTTTGGCAAAGCCCATGTCACCGGGACATGTGGGATTCTATCAACTTGATTACAGACCATTACAAAAGATGGACTTGTTACTTTGTTGATAAGGGTCTGTTTGGGTATGGGTTTGGAATAAAACATGTGATTTAAAAGGACGAGATTAGGCATGATCGGTATATGATCAAGGTTGTCATGGTGCCAAGGCAATGCATGTCGCCAGCAGACTGCCAGAACGTCTAGGCGACAATTAGGTAAAAACTAAAAAGTCATAAATGATATATATACTCTGTGATAACATTAATAAAAATTTATTCTCTGTGTCATGACATATTCTAAATCAAATACTCCGGGGTACTTAAAAATTCCAAGGCTCCATAGTGTACTATCCCTTTGAAGCAAATTAAACAACCTCACTAATTATCAGGAAAATAATTAAATAATTACCTAATAAAACACTTATTTAGGGAAGAACACAAATTTAAAAAATTAGAAAAAAACATAAACATTACCATAACTAATTGCACATTAATTAAAACTTGTAAAATTAGACAATCAATAAAATGCAAACAAAATGCAAGACTTGTAAAAATGCCGACTAAAATCAGAAAATTAGTCATAGAGGTGATAGAGCACATCCAGATTGCACTAGGTCTATGTTATCTTTTCATTTCTTTCTTCATACTATCGGAGGTTTGAAGGAAATGTTTTTGTAAAATAAAAAAATGTAACAGGGAAGGTTGACTTTTCCAAACTAAATCTGACAAAAAATGAAGCTTTTACCATTTGACATAACCTGGACATTGGGGAAGGGAGGTTGATGCAGGCAATTAACGCCAAACCAGAGTCATTGGGGTATAAGAAATGGGTTAAGAAAGTTAAGGGAATAGGTCGGGAAAATCAATTTCAGTAACCAAACAAGTGGTATGTGTATGAGATTTCCATACCCATCCTTGTTACCGATACCCAAACAAGCAAAATGGCACCTAAAGGGTATGATGGTCTCAGTGTTTTCCTTTTCGCTGTAGTATGGTGATAGACCCAGATGTGGCAGCAGCTGTTCCACACAGCGATGCGTATTCATCATCTATGACAGATACACCAATAAGCTCAGCATCAATGGCTTCAAGTGGTCATTTCCCCTTCACCTCCCTTGACACAACATTAGTGTCTGATTCTGCAAATACAAATGGGCTGCAACTGCCCTTGGATTATTGTGCTGGAAATTACAGGGATTCCCTACGAACTTTGGCACAGTTCCCTTGGAATTTTAATCTTTTAGACCTAACAGAAGATTTACCTAACCTAGAAGGTAACTCTAACCTACACTTTTCTTCAATACTTTTTAAATTGTTCTTTTATTTTGTTCTTTATCCTATTTCCTCACACTGTTGTTGCTGTTGGTATTTTGGTTGGTGAAAACAATTATCCTGATAGCTGATATTTGTTATCTGATGGCAGATACTGCAGTTCTCAGGAATTACCAAAGCTCATCACCCTTTTTGCATTCTGATTCGGATATTCTACTTGATTCCCCTGCGCATGAGGACTTAGGTGAGTGTTACAGGAAAACTAACTTCCAGTTCCTTCACCTTCCTAATAAACAACATAATGCACCAAGGAGCTTGATTCCTATTTTTTGTGTTTTATTGAGATCTAAAATTACCTTGACCACAATTGGATGTATCCACTTTCCTAGAACTAAAAATAAAAGTTATTAAATTAATTTGTCAGCACGTGTGTGTGTGCACACGCTAGCTACACACACGCCATGTGATGTTTTTCGTCTCGGCTAACTACTGATTTTTGTATGTCTTTTGTCACAGTTGAAGAGTTCTTTGTTCATTCCACCTCAGGGCCAACAGATGACAAGGAGCCAAGTCCATCCTATTGACAAGAGATGTTATCACACTTCTTACTAATGGGAAAGCTTTCTGAAGAATTAGATAAAATAATATAAACATGTTTACTTCATCTGTATTTCAAATTCGAATAGCAGAAAACTCTTCTCCAGAATTTTCGTTTTCATTCTCCAGTATGCAAAAGTGACGCAATACATTTCATCCCATTGTCTAATTTAGATTAATGAGCTCAAATTAGAACAACCAATTAAAATCCCACAACATGCAGATCTTACCCCTATTATGAAGTACACAAACTTTACCCCTATTATGAAGTACACAAACTTTACCCGTACTATATGAAGTATAGAGACTGTATTCAAAAGACACCGGACTCAAACACGATAGCTCAGACAAGATAGAGACAGTAGCACATACAAAGTAAGAGCACGGATATAAGAAGCATACATACCGACACTTGCAATTCCATCATCTCCGATGGAGCCAAAATTTCACCATTTTTTGGCTTTGGGTTGTGATAGAATAAATCAAAATGGATCTCTAAATTGTCTGCGCTTCTTTAATTAATGAAGTAGCAGTTAGTCAAGCAATGCAACTTTCGACGTTGAGTCAGGGGTCTCTTTGGAAACAACCTCTCTACTTTCGAGTAGGGGTAAGGTCTGCGTACACAGACCCTCCCCAGACCCTACTCTTGTGGGATTTAACTGGGTTGTTGTTGTTGTACATACCGACACTTGCAACAAAACCCAAAGCACATGAAGCACATGCACCAGCTACAAATCAAGTTAAGAACATACGAGCATAAACTACAAACTAAAACCTAAAGGTCTACCCAACTATTCTAGTCCATTATCTCTAGACGTTCCCATCAAAGATCATATCCTTGGCAAGAACTTTCGAAGTCGTGAACCTTGTCTAATCACCATCTTCCAACTCTTCTTCTACCTCTACCCCTTCTCATGCCCACTATCACATGCCTCTCACAGTATTCTCGCATCGCCTCATTGGGCAGTTGCCAATCATATTCTTTTTCCACTCAAGAGAACAAAAGTTTTTATTTTCGACCACTCAAACAGGTGTCCGACCATGGTTAACATATGCCTTCACCATGATCAAAGCATCCTCCAACAATTAATTTGAGACATCAATGTAATCATAGGATGGTAAAAAGAGAATTTATCAAACCAATATATGATTGCAAGGAGTCAAATGAGTTTTCTTACAGAAATGGATGATATAGGTAAGAATGTAATAGAAGAACTAATCCCCCCTTGTCCTTCTTCTTTGATAAAGGGGGTTATTGACATCAGCTTTATGTATTGTTGTCTCCTCTTGGTGAAAGGGCTGTGTGGATGCATCAGCTAAAGTGGGTAACCTGGCAACACTCCCTTTCCCTCCTTTCCTTGCATTTGGTCCAATCTCCTCTATCATGTACTTCCACCCATCGATTGGCCTCCTCCGACTGAATATATGCGTCTTTATAAAACTCGCTATCTGCCCATCATAAAAAAAACACAAAGCTGGCTCACATTCTGTATTTTTGAAACTGTATATGCAAAATACAGATAGGCCAACGAACCTGGAACTTGTTGAACGCGATTCTGCGCTCAAATTCTTGAAGCAAAAGATCTTCTTCTCTCTGTGACATCTCCCAGATGTTCCCATCCAGACTCTTTGATGTTGTTTCCCAGCCATCCGGCTTGTTTTTCATATCAGAACCAGAAACTTGTAAATGATTGTTCCTTTTCAAGTCATCATTGGGGAAGTCGAATATCCTGGACTTGTTTGAACATCACCCCACAATTACATCAAACATGGTGAACAGGCAAAATTCAATCAACCACATTAACTTCAAAGCTGAAGGAGAAGAGAAGAAATCAACATCACAAAAAAATAGATATACTTACTCCGAGGCACTATCCAGCAACTTTTGGATATCGTCAGCATCGCCTGAATCACCTCCAAGCTTAGCTTCCTCCATCCTCTCAATCTCCTTCACCCACAGGCCAGCATGTATTCTCTGTTTCTTAACCCTATATCCTTCCTAATGTTCTCCAAACTGTAAAGTGAAGTCTCATCTTCAGCTTTCTTAGCTGCAACATCATCAGCGTTTGAACTTTTTTTCGGACTTTTCCCCTTTCTCTGATCCCAATTGTCGTTCATGTCCTCCACGAATGCCCTAGTTTCGGCGTCAGCATCCAACGGGAGAAGAGCTTGGGAATCACTGGAGGAGGTGTCGTTCGGAAGCGAGAAGTTGACGTCGGTCTCCCACGGAGCTCGGTTCTTGCCCGAGAGATCTTCCGGCAGCCAGGCGGCTTCCCACGCGACATTCCACTCGTCGTCGCCGGTTTTTCCGGAGAGACGGCGGAGAACCGTCTGAGAGGAGGCGGGGTTTAGCAGAGGTTTTCTGAGTATGGAGAAACAAAGTCTTGGAATTGTGTTCATTTCCTTGACTGCTGTAGCATTCGATCTTTGCGATCCGGCGTGCAGTATATGAAGCTTCGGATCGCCAGACGGCGGCGCTGTGGTTGTGGGCTGATATCGGGACGGGGGAGCTCCGGCGGCGAGAGCAGGCCTGCCCCTGCTGTTCTAGTTTTCGTTTTTCAAATTTTTATGGGCCTATTTTTTTTTGAAAGCCCATAATGGTTATGGCCCAAAATCATATAAGTGCACACTCGGAGCAATATATATACTCCGTATTAAACAATTCATTATCCTCTCACACAAACCCTAGCCTCACCTGCAGAGTGTAAGCTTCCATCGCCGAACTGAGGATCTCACCTCCGGCGGCCCAAAATGGTGCACGTTTCCTTTTACCGGAACTGTAAGACCTCTATTCCTTCGCTTCTCTCTTCCCGTCTTTGAAGAATCGATTGTTTTAATTTCTGTGTGATAACTATTTTAATCCATTGAAGTGTGTGTGGCATATATGACTGGTTCAGATCGAATGCTCAGAAAGATGTAGCGTTATCTAGAATAAAAACTCGATCTTTTGGCATTTCATCGAAGCTTAATAACTTGTCTGGGCCTAGTTGGTTTTATCTTTACTTGTCCGGCAAAGTCATTTCAACGACTTTGTATTTGAATAATAAAAAAAAAAGACTCAGGTTTTTGCCTAAGGGTTCGTACAGCCGAAAATGATCTGCCTAGTAGCTTCCATTTTACATGTATGCTATGGTAAATAGAGATGGGAAACAGGTCAGTCGGGTTTGGGTTCGGTACATTTGGGTTGGGGTAACTTCTATGTTGTGTCAATTGCGGTCGAAAATTTCAGTTGGGTTACTTTTTGGGTTGACCCAAAGTATCATAAACTCTTTACTTTCTGAATATTTAAATTTATTTTAGATATACACCAGACTATTATGAATATATTTAAAAAATTCAACATCTACAAGTTTTTTTAAATGTAATCTTAGAAATTACAATATAACATTATTATAAACTAGTTAGAAAAGATAAGTTTATACACTAAAAAAATAATAAGGAAAGAATATTACTTGTATTACCGGAGTACATGATTTTTATTTCTACATTACATTTATACTAGAGTACCTTATTTAGAAAAAACATTTTTAGCAGGTGTCAGATTTGGATTCAGTTGGGTTTTATCCATTGTAGAGAATAATTAAATTTATAGGGATGTATGAATCTTTGTTTTGTTGTGCTCTCAATTGTACTGCTGTATAAGACACTACAAAGCAGTATCTGTATGTCACTATGTGATATTTCAATTGATGATGGGAGAATGCTTCACATTGTAGGCTTGTATCAGCAATGTTGTGTTTGTTGGCATGTTGTGGTTTTGTTTATGTATGATAGATTTTTGTGTGTTTGCTACATGCATTGACACCTTATATATGCTGCTTAATGTAGATGGAAAGACCTTCAAGAAGCCACGTCGCCCCTATGAGAAGGAGCGTTTGGATGCTGAGTTGAAGCTTGTGGGTGAGTATGGGCTTAGGTGCAAGCGCGAGCTTTGGAGAGTCCAGTATGCTCTGAGCCGAATCCGGAATAATGCACGAAAGCTTCTAACCCTTGACGAGAAGGACCCAACACGTATTTTTCAGGGTGATGCACTGCTGAGGAGGATGAACAAGTACGGTTTGCTTGATGAGACCCAGAACAAGCTTGATTATGTGCTTGCCCTCACGGTTGAGAATTTCCTAGAGCGCCGTCTGCAAACTCTGGTTTTCAAGGCTGGCATGGCAAAGTCAATCCATCATGCCAGAGTTCTCATTAGGCAAAAACACATCAGGTGAAAAGAAATTTCTTTAAAGAATGCCTGCATAATTGTTCATTATGTTATAATTTTAATATGATCTCAGTATTAGCTTATGCCTCTGATGAATTTGTTATGTCCTTATGGCATTTAGATCCCATGTGTCTGATTAACGCTTGCAGAAGTTCTTGAAACTGTAGTGGGCAGTTGATATAGTTAGAGCTGCCGAAATTGTGGATTAATGGAAAAAAATACCTTTTTCTGAAATAATGAAAAATTAAATGAAAACAGCTAAAATGGTATCTATCAAAGACATCCAACTATATTCTTTTCAAAAAACAATTATGGAGGTTGATAAGCCATAAAAGTGGGTTTTAAAGGTTCTCGGAATGTTCTCTACTTGTCTAAATTCACTTTATTATCTTCCATTTGTGATGTCAGTTGCGTACCCCTCTCATAATTCTGGCTTTTCATTTCAGAGTCGGGAGGCAGGTGGTGAATGTCCCATCCTTCATGGTTAAGGTGGACTCACAGAAACACATTGATTTCTCCATCTCCAGCCCCTTTGGTGGTGGCCGACCTGGCAGAGTTAAGAGAAGGAACCTGAAGGCCGCTGCAAAGAAGGCTGCTGGTGGCGCCGGAGATGAAGAGGAGGAAGAATGAGCATTTTTCAATTGAAGAAATGGGAAGAGCTTTCTTCTGCTTCGGTTTTCCTCTATTTCCTTTTGCTTATTGCTCTATTTGGATGTTATTGCACCCTTTTCCCGAAGCGGCTATCTGATTCTTCAGCCTCTGTTTGGTTTGTCGTATTACTTTTGGTTAAAACTTTTTTTTGTTGTGAATCCTTGTTGATGCATTCTACTAATTTATAGTAAACAATTTATTAGTTACCAAAGGCAAGAGTCTCTAGCTAGCTTCTTGAATTCTTTGGTTGTTTAGTAATCCACTATTATCATTGTGGTAAGCGTCATTAAGCTTCATTGTGTTCTTGTAGAGGTGAATCAAAAGTAATCTATCCAGGTACTAGTCTCTTTGAGCCCCCATCTTTGCATAACTACTCCCTCCGCCCTAAAATTATTTCTCACTTTCTTTTTTCAAGCTATCCTAAAATTATCTTGTTACTTAAAATGGTAAGTTTTTACTCCTAAAATGACATCAATGCCCCTCTCCTCTTACCAGCTGATCTTCTCTGCCTCTCACCTATCCTGCTTTTCTCTTCTAGGTCTTCTCTCTTCGTGTCGCGTATCTCTTGTCTTCTCGGTTGATCTTTCTCGCATCCTTCTCGGAAGATAATTGTCTTTGTCTGTGTCACAGTGATGATTCTTCCCTTGCGGCTACAATTTTGTTTGTAGATTGCAGATTTCATCCTCTGCATTGTTCCAAAATACACATGCATATGCATGCCATATTGCATGTACGATTAGTTTTTTGATTTGGGAGAGTTTCAATAATATCCAAATCAATGACAAAAACCAAAAGGCAAATCTGCTTATATTAGTGTCAATGAAGCACATAAACCAACCTATATTAGAGGTTTGGATTTGGCAGAAAATTATATGGTACATCCCGTTGTACCTTTCTTTAGGTACATTCTGGTATTTTTGTAAATTTTGTAAACTTTTTATCTAATGTTATGAACATATATGAGAACTATTATATATGACAATGAGTATCAGAAGATTTGAGAAAGAGTACCAGCACTTACGAGAATTATCACATTTTTATTCAATACAAACATGAATAAACATAGGTTTTAAATTCTTCATACTCAGAGAGTATAAATGAGTAGGAACGAATCGAATAGAGAAAGAAGTTGATAATGGTACTGAACTTTTTAATTGTGAAAAAATTAAACAATATTTTATTTCAGAATGAACATTTCCTTATTTGAGAATGAGTATTGTTTTTTTAAAAAATGAACACTATGTTATTTATTATAATTATATTAGATAATATGTAAAAATGAGTACTTTATTTTAAAATGAGTACTATCTTTGCCAGAATGAGTACTACGTATTTTGAAATGAATTTTTATATTTGTACGAGAATGAGTACTACTTTATTTCAGATTGAGTACTACCGAGATGTACCTATTTCTAGGTACATCCGGATGTACGATATACCAACTCGGATTTGGCAATAATGTTTTTCAAAACCCAAAACTACTACAAAAATTACAGTTCACACAAATTAATTATTACTACCTCCGTCCCATTTTAAATTGCATGTTTGCCTTTTTTCTCCGTTCCAAAATAAGTTGTCTGTTAGTTGTTTTCGTAAACTTTTAAAAATAAAATACTTAAACTATCTCTAAAATAAATCAATCTTCTCCACTTTATATTTTCATTCATCATCATCCCTCCTAAAAATTATTGACAATTTCGAAAAACCAACTCTATTTTTAATTTTTCTTAAATATGTCTAAAAGTCAAAACGGACGATTTAAAACGGGACGGAGGGAGTACTAGCTACACCACTAAACATAGTCTGTCTAGCTCTAACGGACTCCTGCAAGTGTGTGTTTTTGAACTCGGTCTTTATTTTTAGCTTTTGCCCCTCTTATGTGCCTCGAATCCCTCGATCACTTTGTTTTAAAATTCTAACCTTATTTATTTTATTTCCGCCACACAAAAAAACCTTTATACTGATAACTTAAATTACCTCTTTTTTCAATTTTTACACAAAAATAATCACAACTAAAAACGTAAAATAAGAGATTAAAAAGTTTAAAAAGTAAAGTTTTTGATGTTGGTAACTTCACCCAATTTTAAGAATAGCTTCGTTTGCGTTTCTTAAGAAGGAAAAATAAAATATCAAAATTGTATCATTCCTTTTTTCTCAATTCTTTCCTTTCAAAGGGAAACTTAAAATTACCTTCACATCTGCATTTGTTAAAAAGTAATTGAAAAAATGTTTATCCTGTACAAATGGAAGCTTAAATTACATCTTTTTTTTCCATTCTTATACACTAAAATACTCACAGTTTCAAAATTCTAACTTTATTTATTTTATTTACGCCACAGCACAAAAACAAAACTTCTTTTGTTTTTAATAAAAAAAAAGTATAACATCACGGGTTTTAGACAAATAACATACTTTTCTTAATTCTTTTTTTCTGAAACTCTTTATTTTATTGCAGGTTTTACATCTTTTTCCTTTATTAATTCTTACCATAAATGTAGATTCCATATTATTATTATTATTATTATTATTATTATTATTATTATTATTATTATTATTATTATTATTATTATTATTATTATTATTATTATTATTATTATTAACGACTTTTGTATAATTTATACATACATACATACATACATACATACATACATACATACATACATACATACATACATACATACATACATACATACATACATACATACATACATACATACATACATACATATATATATATATATATATATATATATATATATATATATATATATATATATATCCATAACTACAAAAGTACTAAACTTTATTTAGTATACGCCAACAATTTTGGTTCATGTACACACATAATCATCATGCTAATAATATCTCAGAGTCTTGTGTTATATATCCCTTCTTTTCACTTTGGTGAAAGATATGAAAGAGTGAATCTATCCAATCAAGTTGAGACTATACTTGAAAAAAAAGAATATGTCATGATTTTGTCCACAAAATTTATCAAGACAGATCAATCATAGTCGTCAGCGACGACAATCTTACCGCAAAACTATTTCTCCATATTTTCTTCTTCCATCCAAAGGCTTTCTTGTCGTGAGTAGTCTTCGTACCTGGAAAATCCAAAACCCTTGTGATCGATCTCACCCCGTATAACAAAAACTTCACCCAATGTGCTCTTAATAACAAAACTCAAAAGACAAATAGTTGAATCCCATACCAAAGCTTCTCTGCAAGTTTGTACCTAGTTAACAAAAATAATAGCATTAAATTTACGAAACGACATAAAAAAAAACTCAAGCAGAGAAGTTAGAGAAACAAATCTCCATAACATGGACTATTAGGAAGTATAATTAAATTAGGATACTTCTTTCATTTCCTACTAGGATTATTCTTTCCTTTCCTACTTGTACTTTGATTACTCTTGTATTCCCTATATATAGGGTCATATCTTTCAATATTCAATAAGACAAGTTATTATCAAATTGTATCATGGTATCAGAGCTAAGGCTCTCAAAAACCTAGCCTCTCTTTTTTCCGACCGCCGCCCACCATGGCAGCCCCGTCGGATCCTTTGGCGTCCTTACCCTCCGGAGTAAAACTTTTGCTTCGGAGTCTCCACAACTTAATCCCAGAAAAACTCACCGAAACAAATTATCCGGCATGGTCTCTCAATGTCCAGACAGCTCTTTCAGCTAATCTCCTCCTTGGATGGATTGATGGTCATGAAGCAACCCCGGCGCCAACTATCTCCAAAAACGATAAAACCGTCCCTAATCCAGAGTATACCTCCTGGACCATCGTTGACACACAGATCCGCGCCTGCCTCCTAGCGGTCATCAGCCCCTCCGTTCACAAACATGCTCGCGGCTTCACCACATCTGCTGCCCTCTGGGATGCTTTGGTCGCACGGTACAACTCCGTGTCCACCGCTCATGTTTATCAGCTTCGGGACAAACTCCACACTCTTCGTAAAGGTACCAAAACTATGACACAATACCTTGATGATGTGGCAACTATTCTCTCGGATCTCGATGCCTTGAAAGAAGAGATCC